AAAATGGCAGAATTTCCTAAATTCCTCGCAACAGCCGCTGAGACTCAGCATGGATTTGCTCCAACTGAACCATTATTTCCTGTCAAACAACAAATGTATAGCCTTATAATTAACCCTAAGAACATGAAAATATAATTAAAATATGATGAATTACAGACCCATCAAGGGAAAATAAGGTTTTCATATTCGATAAGTTTGAAAGAATTAGATATCTCATTTGTGCATTCAAGATATATACAACATCAAGCAACTAAAGTTTTAGAGTACCGCATTTTCTCAAGCATTTGTCCATTTGCTCATTTTGTGCGTTGAGGTTTGAAAACAAAAATGTCCATTGATGATCAAATGCTTCTGCATAACTCAAGAGCTGAGTTATTGAATGTAAATAGGGAAGACATCCTGAAAAGAAATAAGAATACAAAGATACGTATAAAGAAGGTACATTTCCAAGCATACAAAAGTTATAATTTTCAGTATGTATACATCTAAAAATGAATGGCAATTGGCAACCTATAGGAAATGCATTATTTCATAGTAAGCATCACAATTATAATAACTATTTTGAAGAAAAATATAAACTGGACATGTAGAAAATCATATATAAAATCCACATTCGGTATTATCAAGGCTATTATATAGACAACAATTGTGTAAAAAGTATTCATGGTTTATTTTTAATACAGTTATTCATTTATCCTAGCAGTCTGTGTTGTTGTGCTCTTTTTCTTTCATTTTTCTACATTTATTTGTGTTTTTTCACTTACAAATATAAATGCAAATCAGTGGATATAACAACATAACAATCATATAATATTAGATGAATTAAAATGAGTTCCTTGCCTTTAAATACCCCAAAGCTTACTCTTATTTCATCTCTGACACTCTAAAGTTTACCTCATTTTAAACTTTTTGATTAGAATATAAATGAAAGTGATAATAATCCCAATGTAACCCAACAGTCATTATCAACATATAAATTTCTCAGACTTAAAAATCTAAACAAAAAGAAATTGGAATAGCACAATAGAGGTCATTTTTGAGAGCATAAATACATGTAAAGATCCATTTAAAATTACAACCCAACATTGAAATGAAATTACCATTCCGTAATTGTAATCAACCGATAAGTACATTGAAATAAAATTAAATCATATGATGATATTTTTATTGAACCATAAGTACATTGATCAATGAGGAATAATCTTATGACCCGTTAGGAGTAATTTATCTCTTTAAAGTAACTATTACTGAGTTATATTTCTACTATATCTACGACTAAAAACTTCTATATGTATAAAAAAATTCTAACTCGATATTTGCACAGACGTGGAACATAAATAATAGTGTTTATTCTTATCACGCTCAATAGCAAATAATGAGGAAGAAGCTATCATGCTACAGGCTTTTAGCAAAAACTATTCCATAATACAGATGAAGCTAATTCTACTTAACATATATAGAGAATGCTACATAGTGCTCTATGAATAGTGAATACCTAACTGATCCACCATCAAAGAATAGCCCTTAATCCAACAACATTACATCTGGCACATTACCAAGGATTGTTTTGCTAAATTTGATGCAATAAGAAAAAGATTCAAGGGTCATTTTGGTTGTTATTTGGAATACTCCATGTTTGAAATAAAGAAAAAAGGACTTAATGAAAATGAAATGCATTATCATTGCACATAAACTATGATAAAGATGTCCATATCATTTATTATTGCCATCTCATGTAAACATTTCACCATAAGTTTCCCTCACAATCTCACAGAATTACAGACATTAGTACATTACCAAGTGAGTTACTACAAATGGCATTCAATAACTATTCCAGGAAATTTTATAGAAGAAATAATCTAGAGATTTTAATGTATGTTGTCTTTCTCTTCAATAGCGTGTTCGTTTGGTCGTGGGTGGATAAGCTTTAGATTATGAAGAACTGATGTTACAATGTATCGTACAAAATAGAGGTCTTCATGATGATCCATAAAGTTGATAGTAATGCAAGCTCATAAATCAGATAGCTGGAAATTTTATGCATAAATATCAAAAGTTTATAATAGTTCTACAATTAAAAAAAGAATGTATTGAATGATCAAATTTTTTAGAGAGTATATGCTTCAGTAACATACCTAGTTAAATTCAGTAACAACTACATGAAAATAATAAATACATTGGTTAGATTTACAAAATTTGAATTACCCTTTTTGCTAGCTCTGATCACAGTCCCAATGCTAGAACAAATAAAGAAAATTTGAAAAATAAAAATGTAATTCATTCCTAATAGACACATATCAAATCAGATTATGCTTTACCTCAATAAAAATCAGATTATGCTTGCCAGTAAGCCCACAATAATTCATTTCCCATATGTTAACAATTTCCCATAAGTTAACAATATAATTTCTTCTTCCTCTCACTTTAAATTTAACCCACATTAAATATTGCCAACACATCATAAAAAAACAAAAGATCAGCACTCACATGGGAAAAAAACAATGTAAACATAATAAGCTTGTCGGGTTCGTATCAAATCATAAAGAATTATAAATGAACTGTAACCTTCATATTAAAAGCATCATATGCAAGTATAATCCTATGCTTTATATATACATACAAAGAGTAAAATTCATTTCAACTACGTATATATAAATGTTATCAATTAAACTCTGTTAGCAAAATTTTGAGAATGCTATTCAAGAGGACTATTTTCTAAGAAAAGCAATTCTCTCTAAAACATATTTTTTATATTAATAGAAATGCAACTATTATATATAAAGCTGAACTAATTTCCAAGAGAACTACATCTTCTAATTTTTTTTTTCTTGAATCAGATTACATTTGCATCTAAAGCCTAGAAAGCAAGATGTAAAAAATAATTGTGATACGCGAATACTTTAAGGTAATAGCAAAATAGACCAATATCATAATGTATAGTTTTGCTGATAAATTCTCAAGCTAATAGGAAAAGTAGACATTTATAGAAATAAGTAATTAGTTTCTTGAGAAGCTCTTAAAAAAATCTTAAAAGCACTTGATGTGGAACCATAAAATTCTATCCATCATAAAGTCATGTTGGGTATAATAGCTTCTTAGTTCAACTTCAGTACATGATTGAACCAAAAAACCCCAAGAATAATAAATTTTTTATGTTATCGATTAAAAGAAAATATTACTATTTACCTCACACTTTATGATCAGCATTTCAAGCAACTAATCCTCTCTCCTCAATGTAGTTATGCATTCCCTTCTGTACATAATGCAATTTTGGATGTCAGCATGTTGATCGTCAATGAAGAGAGAATAGTGAATACGAAACTGAGTACCCATCAAAGTATATCAAAGAACTCAAAAAGATCTCACCTTGTGAATCATAACCCTTGTGAATAATGTAATCATCTGAAGCAGCTGGAATCGAAGCATTCAAAAGATAAGGAGAGGTTCAAAGTTTCGACCTTTACCTTCTTTTGTCGACCTTCAGGCTCGATATCCTTCATGATTCTCTCGCTTCGCTCTCAACTGGAGGCGGAGATTCTTCGCCCTTGGATTTGGGTTTTTTCGTCGTTGTTTAGGGTTTGGTCTTGGTCTCGAAACCCTAGGTTAGGGTTTTCGCAGAGGTAGCTGAGAGTGAGCTCCTGGAGCCCGTGAGATTTTGGCGGGAATCCATGGAGGCCATATCGAAGGGGGCTGGAACTAGAGCTGGGATCGGATTCTGGGAGGGGGGATCCATCGAAGGGTGCGGATCGGATTCTGAAGGCGATGTCGTTGGCGGCGGCGATGATCATGGATTTGAGGTCGCTAAGGCTGATCTTGCTGTCACGGTCAGCGTCGAGGACGTTGAAGGCCAGGCGGAAGTCCGGCGAGTCGCCGCCGTCGGAGGGGAGGGGGTAGCGGCGGGAGAGACACTTTAGGATTTGGGGATTTTTTTTCTTAGTCGATGAAGGACGGAGAGAAGACCAGAGAGATGTAGAAAGGAAAAGGAGAGGTTGTTTTATCTTTTTATTTCCCCCTTTCAAGGTGAGCACTGTTAGTTTTTGAATTTTGAAATTGAGCCTTTAAAAAATTTGAATAAAAGTGATTATAATAATGTGGTTACTGTAGGGAATATGTTAGTGGAAGGAAGTGGGCTCCATAATCAATCACTGTTCAATTTACTGTATCGTGAACAATAATTCTTTGATCCTCCTATTTGTATAAAGGAATAAATGCATTTAATGTATTCTTTTTTCATTCTACTAATTCTAGTTTTGATGGTTTGTCTCCACTTTTCTACTTTAGATATTATATCATCTGTAATCTCAAAAAAAAAAAAATTATATTATCAGCAAAAAACATATACCAGCATCAGTGATCACCTTCTACCCTATCAGTTTCTCAGTTTCATTTATTTAGGTAGTTATTTAATTTAAACTTTTTTAGAGCCACATGTGGCTTTCTAGGCTATGATGTATTTTTTCTTACTCTTTCCAGCGTGGATAGTTGTGGACTTGTAGTTGAACTTTATTTTTCGAAGATTTCCTTTTGAGCCTGCCAATCTCCTACAATGGGATCCTTATGCTCTGTGATATATTTGTGGCTATATATTTGTATATACAGGATGACCAAGATGCGTGAATGTGGCCAAATGGTTGCACTGCTGGCCAAGTCATGTTCCAAATGTTTACACTTTGAAACCGGGAATCGGGGCGTGACACCCTCCAACTAAGAGCAAAAGTATTAACTAGAGAGAAATTAGTCCCTCAAATCATCTAACCATTTATAATGTTACACAATTTTTCATAAGTTGTTACAAATTAATCCCTTTACTTGCTAATCCTACTATTGATTTGAGGGGTTAATTTCGATATAGTGGCAATTTCTATGATTTGCGGGATTAATACAAAACACCTTAAGACCTAAGGGACCTTGTAGCAATTTCCATGACGTGTGGGACTAACTAAAAAAATGGAAGATTTTAGAGACCATACTCGCCTGCAACGCCCCGCGAGACACCAGACCGAGCCTCACCCAAAGAGTCAAAATCCCTCGCGAAGCGTTGACTACACCCCGAATTCGAGAATAATGGCGACTTTGAGGGTTCTTGTGAAAAATTTCACCCGCAAGCTGCCGCTCGCTCGCCGGCGACTCTCTCCGCCGTCAGATCGATCGCTACGAACTTGTCTCCGCCGTCGAGAGCCGTCGTCTACGAGCAGCACGGCTCACCGGATCAGGTCACCAAGTAAGAAAGAATCACCAAATTTCCAGTAAATAGTGCAAATTACAGAAATTTACACTCACTGACGCTTAAAATTGACAGAAATGGTTTTTTTTTTTGTAATTTTTGTTGTTCAGGATCATTGAGGTTCCACCGAGAGAATTGAAAGAAAAAGATGTTTGCGTCAAAATGCTTGCAGCTCCCATTAATCCTTCGGATATAAATAGGATTGAAGGTTCGAGTTCTTTGAATTTAGATCACACTTTATGCAGAAATTTTGTATTTTGTAAGGGGCATTTTATAATGTTCATGTTATTTGATGCGACTTGTAATTTGCACTTTCTTTGATCAATTGAACCCACCATTTTAAGTTTCAATTGCTTTACTAGAATGCTTGAGATAGATGAAACGTATTGCATAAGGATCCCATTGTAGGAGATTGGCAGGCTCAAGAGGCTCAGAATCAGCTTTGGGCATCGGGATTGGTGGCGGTCGACCGCAGAAGTTTCTGCTTTCGGGTCGGTCGACCGCCGCGGTCGACCGCAGAACTCTCTGGACCTCGGGTGCTGTTCTGGATTGAGGGCGGTCGACCGCCGTAGCGGTTTTGGGCTGGGTCTGTTTCCAGACCCGTTTCGTTTGAGTTTTCTATAAATACCCAAACTTGGTTTTAGGGTTTGTAAGCAAGGGGTTTTAGCAGCCATTGAGGGTGAGTTCTTGGGCTTCTATTGTTGGAGCAATTGGGAGAGATCAATAGTGATTTGTTGAGGGTTTTGGTGAGAGATTTGTAACCCTAGTTGTATCCCCTTGATTTCTAATAGTGAAAACTCTCCCTTCCTTGCCCCGTGGACGTAGGCATCTTGCCGAACCACGTAAAACTGGTGTTTGATTGTTTGTGCTATTGATTTTGGTTGGTTCTTTATCTTTCTCGGCGATTGGTTTGGTTTCTCGAGGCACAACACCCATAACATTGAAATTTGATCTGGGTAGTAAAAGGTAATCGAAAAAGTTCTGTTTCAAGTTCATTATTCCATTGCCAGCTTTTCTCTTCATTGTCAGTACGCGAGCATTATTTTGATTCCATAGTCTGGGGAGGGCGTTCAAGATATTACCTTGTGAATCTCCCTGCCTCAATAGATGTACACAATAATTTTTTTCCTTGTATTGTAGTTTCAATTTCCCAGCATATAAATTGTTTAAATGTTTAATCGTGGATTAACCTCCTGTACTATTGCCATATGGACTTACTATCCCTGTAGCTGTATTTTTTCAGATTGACCCTCTGAGAGATTTATTTTGAACCTTTTCAGGGGGTCTCTCTGCAACAATAGAACTATTTCATGGTGCCTACGTGCAGCAATAGAACTTCAAGGATAGTAAGTTCAATTTCACGATGAAGTAGGGGGTCTGTTGGCAATTAGCTCTTTTGTAAGTTTGTTTGTCGTTAGTAAAACTTCCGTTTCTAACATTTCTTTGTGTGCTTGTGTGAGTCTCTGTCTCACATTTCTGCCTTTTTGCTGAAGGTGTGTATCCTGTAAGGCCTCCTGTCCCTGCGATTGGGGGTTATGAAGGAGTTGGCGAGGTACATTCATTGGGCTCTGCAGTCAGCGGCCTCTCGATTGGAGATTGGGTTATACCATTTCCTCCGTCCTCTGGTATTTCACTATCTTTTTTGTCATCAACGCATGTCAAGAAGAAATTTGCAGCATACCCTTTGTCAATAGACTCAATACTACTCCTGCTTTTAGTATACCTCAGCTTTGATTTGCTTTAGCGTCCAGGACACTTGAATAAGAAATTTTCTCATGATGGTTGCTGCAGGAACTTGGCAGAATTACATTGTAAAAGAAGAGAATATCTGGCACAAAGTTAGTAAAAATATCCCTATGGAATATGCTGCAACAATTACTGTAAATCCTTTGTCTGCTTTGCTGATGCTAGAGGATTTTGTTAAACTGAAATCTGGTATTTTCATTTTGCTGTGTTTGCTGTATGATTTATCCTTTGTGTAGTATTTCCTATTGTTCTTTTGGATTGATGTAGGTGATACTATTGTGCAAAATGGTGCTACTAGCATTGTGGGCCAGTCTATTATCCAGCTTGCAAAAGTTCAGGGTGTCAATAACATAAATATTATTAGAGACAGGTGCGCACCGACACCTCTTCTAATCTTTGATCTTCCATGTAATTACGAATAGACTTAAAGAACTGTAACTTGATGTTAATGAATTTCTGTGTTAAAGTCCATTATGCAATTTAACTAATGGAAGAATTAAGGTTGGCAACATTTGAAAGTTTAGGAAAGAGCCACCTCTTATTGTGGTGGAAAACTTCTTAATTCTCAAATTTATTTCTGACCTGACAATATGAATTGATTAAGATGGTAGCGGCATGTTTAGGAGGTCCTATCTCTGCTAAAATTAGTTTCTTGGATTTGTATTGATCAAAGATGAGGGTGAGACTGCAAAAACAATGGGAAAATGTCAGAAAAGAGGGACTTTCAGATGCCTATTGTGAGTTTGATCATTACCTCAATAGACAATAGTTATGACTGGGAAGAGGATGATGACTTGAGACCACCCATAACAGTTGAGAAAAGGATTTATGAGTATTAGTTATAGGTAAATACAATTTGTTTTTTTGGTTATAAGAGCATGTCATGAGAAATTATGCACAGATCGTGTTATTAGAACAGTTTCAAAAAGCACAAGTGCAGGAAAGAGTTTGATATTTAGGGAGCTGATTCTGTATTCTCAACGTGACGGTTGGAAAATAGTTATTTTTAACAGATGTATCATCATATTGTTCATGTTAGTTCAATTCCTCTCTGAATTCTGCAGGCCCGGCTCAGAAGAAGTTAAAGAAAGGCTTAAAAAACTAGGTGCAGATATGGTGTTTACTGAAAGCCAGTTGAACGTGAAGAATGTCAAGAGTTTACTGGTACAGTGCATCCCCCCCCTTACAATCTACTTCTATATCAGGTTTTAACAAGTACTCCCGATTTTTAGAGAATGTCTATATTTTTTCATCATGTGTGTCGTTTATTGTTGTCATTTTATATACTTAACCTCTACAGTTCTTAATTGAAGTTTCTCCTTAGGATGATCTGGCCGAGCCTGTCCTTGGCTTTAATTGTGTTGGGGGAAATGCTGCTTCTTTAGTCCTTAAGTTCTTAAGGTAATTATGGTTTTATTTGAATATTTATCATGGCGGGGGTGTTTTTCTTCTCCCAAAACCGGCATGATGACATGATTGTCTTGCAGTCAGGGGGGCACTATGGTAACTTATGGTGGAATGTCAAAGAAGCCTATTACTGTATCTACTTCCTCATTCATATTTAAGGTAGGTTCTCGGTATTGCTAAACTGACTTTTTATTATTATTTGCATGTTTTGAGATATGGGTATATTTTACGAAACTACCTTCAATTATTAGGGTCTTACACAAACCTGCCCTAAACTATTTTCATTAGATAAAAATACCACAAACTTTCAAATCTGCAGAAACTACAACATACTGTCAGAATCTGTATGCTAGTTTTATGATACTTGCTAAAAGTCCATGGTGGTTATCTGATAATAACAAAATTTTTATTTTAGTTTAGTGTTTTTATGAGAAAATTAATGTTAGTTTTCGAAGACGTAAATAAAAGTTCATGATACTTAGGGAACATGAATGAAAATGTTGAAACCTTCCGGTGGTGTAATTGCATTAAGCTGTGTAAAATCTAAAAGTCAATAGGAAAATGAGGAAACTAGGTGAATATGTAAGCATTTGAAATGCCAGTTCATGATTAAGACAATTTGTTTTCAACACTAATTGATGTTATCAAACACTTGTTAGGATCTTTCTTTGCGAGGATTCTGGCTGCAAAAGATTTTTAGCTCAGAGAGAGTTGCAGATTGCAGACCAATGATAGAGTATCTGCTGAAATTAGTTGAAAGTGGCAAGCTGAAATATGAGTATGTGTTCTTATACTTGGATTTTCATTTTTCCAATGATCCATACTTCATCTTTTGTCTTTTTAGTTAAACTAGTATAATGCACGTGCAAAGACATTATTTGTATTTAATATTATATTATTTAATAAATTATATATAAACATTTTACAAAGTTATTTTATTACAATATGATTAAAAAATTTAAGTTATACTATTATTAGTACTTAAACTATTATTAACACACATTAAATAGTTATTTAAATTTCCTTATTATTATGTTATTAAGCAGTTTATTTAAAAGTATAATTATTAAATAATAATGTAATCGTTAGTTTAAGTAACACTATTAAAATAATTAAATTATTTTATATTATTAAATATTTATGTTATGTACATATTTATTACAATATCTATTAAATAATGGTAATAATTTTTAATATTATATGATTTTATGTTGTAAAGAATATATTACCTTGTTCGATAATTAATATCATCTTAGTAATAAAAATTGGATGGTATAAATTAAAAATACTATTATTTAGAAAAAATACTTTATATAAACATATTGGATCATTAAAATTTATAAGACATTTACTTGCCAACAAAAAGTGCATGTCTCATTAATTTTAAGGATCCAATATTTTTATATAAAATAATTTTCCTAAATAAAAGTATTTCTAATTCATAACATCCAATTTTTATTACTAAGATAATATTATAATGTCGAAAAAGGTAATATTCCTTACAACATAAAGAATCAATCCCTATTTATACTATCATTAATAATTATAATTTATGTACAGTAATTTATTAAATAAATATTTTTTACTATTTTATTACAATTAATAATTCTTTATAATGAATTATAATATATTTATTTATTTTATTATCGTTATAAATTATCAATATATTCTAGTGAATGACTAAATATTTTGGGAAAAAGAAGAGAAAAGTATATGTCTTATAAATTTCAAGGGTCCGAACATTTTTATGTAAATCAATTTTCCAAAATAAAAATATTTTTGATTTATAAAGTCCAAATTTTTATTATTAAGACGATATTAATTATCGAACAAGGTAATATTCTTTACAACATAAAGAAATAACCCTTATTTATACTATTATTGATAATTATAATTATGCACAATAATATATTAAATAAATTATTTTTACTATTTTATTACAATTAAAAATTCTTTATAATGAATTATCTTATATTTATGAATAATATATTAAATAAGTATTTTCACTATTTTATATAATTAATAATTATTTATAATAAATTATCATATATTTATGAAGTTTGTTATCATTATAAATTATTAATATATTCTAGTGAATGACCAAATAATTTGAGAAATTGATAGGTGCATAGTTAATGAGAGGTTGTGGATCATTAGCTTTATAAATAGTGGTATAATTATGAGTTATAAAAAATTGAGAGGGTAAAAAAGGAAATCAAAAGTTTTAACATGGGTATTCTCTTTTATAAGTAGTATAGATAGATATAGATATAGATATAGATTTTATATATTGCGAATAAAATGCCTTTATATGCAGGATGGAGCTGGTTCCTTTCCATGATTTCAGCATGGCACTGGATAAAGCACTTGGGAAATTGGGTAGCCAACCCAAACAAGTTATCAAATTCTGAGAGATTTTAATCTCCCAAATTCTGAGAGATTTTAAGCTCTCTGGGGCTTTTTTTCCCTTTCTTTTACTGTAACAAATGGATGTTCGAGGAATAAATGTAAATTGAGAATGGTTGTAAAGAAAATAAGAGTTTATTCCAAAATTTTGAATTTGGATGCATGAATTCTTTTTTGCGTTCATGTGCATCAAAATGCCCTTATCCTTTTTAGTTTCTGAACAAGGGTAATTTTGGGATGTCGAAATTCAAATGAGTTTCCGGTTTCAAGTTTCCTCTCATTTCCTGTACCGTTATTGCGAAAAAATTGTAAATGTGTAAGTAGTCAAGTTGAGAGCTCAATTGCTGGTTGCCCGGCACGAAAATAAATAGTTTGATGGGGAGGAGAGGGGGGAAAAAACCATTGTCCATATTCCCAAGATCGAGTATGAAATATCGTTCTTAAAAAAATGTTGATCAGATAAGAGGGTGTTTGTTTCACCAAAATTTTTGGTATTTGGTATGTATTACAAGTTTTGGGATCAAAAAGTGAGATTTTTCGTATTCCGGGATTCAATATATGGTGTTTGTTTTAAGAAATTTTTTTAGAATATTGAATCCCAAAAGTGCAAAAAGTAACTAATTTTTAGAATTTGTCAAATCCCCTCAATTGGAGAGGACTTTGACAAATCCCATAAATGACTTTGCTTACCTCTCAATTGGAGAGGATTTAACAAATTTTAATTTTGTCTTTTTGTGGGAGGTAACCTCACCAAGATAACATATTCATCATATTACAAAATTTTAGCATTTGGTAATGCTACAATTTGAGTTTGAAACAAACAAAATATTATAAATTGTAGTATTCCAAATCCTAAAATATTAATAAAACAAACAACATTTTAGAAATCACAACCCTTAACAAAACACCTATGGATTTCAAATCCCATGGTGAAATACATTTCCTAAAATTATAGGTTTTGAAACAAACACCCCACCCCTAAGGGGCTGTTTGGAAAGAGGTTTTTTAGGGGGAAAGAGGTTTTTTAGGGGGAAAGAGCTAGAAAGCCTGTCAAAAGCTTGCCAAAAGTGCAGTTTTTGGCAGGCCTTTTTTAGAGGCGATTTGGGTGGAAAGCCTGCCAAAAGCTGCACTTTTGGCAGGCTTTCCTACTATCCAAATCGCAAACAAACAACCCCTAAGTGAAACACATAAAAGTGAACACGCGGAAAGCAAATAAGATAGGGAGAAAAACAATAAGAATTTATAACCAGAAAGGGGAAAAAAAAATTCTAAACCTTGAGATATTTAAATGTCAAGCAGCATGAAAAATCTCTTACTTTAAATTGTAATCTTTTAATCATTATTTCACATATGAACCTCAAGTGGATTTTCTTTCCCAAACAGCCGGAAAATCCCGAATAGGGGCTTTTTCGGGTTTTCCCTCCCTCTCTTTTCCGCTGGAAAAATCCCAAAGATCCCTCTTTTTCTCTCGACGCCAGTAGGCACCGCTAGCAGCGAAAGGGTTTGAAATCGAAACAGGGAGACCTAGGGCTCCCAAAATTCCCCCCTTTCCCTTCGAAAATCCAGTAAAAGTAAGAGAGAAAAGGGGAGGGGAGAGAGAAAAGATCGACGAAGATGGACGATTACGCGAGAGAGATGATGGATTTGAAGACCCTAGTCACTCGGACTCTCGAGAAGAAGGGCGTCCTCGCTAAAATTAGGGTAGGCCCTTTCCATCTCCCTCCCCGTTGTTCTCAATGCGTAGAAATTAGGGTTTTGCGTGATTTGCATTTGATCTGGCTATGTATGGGATGGGTCGCTGCCGATCTTAGTACCTGGACTTCATGATCATTATTATTCTTGATGCACAGAAGATTGGGGTGCTTTTTCTTTGTCTGGTTAGGGTTAGGGTTTTCAGGTGAATTTTTGTTGCAGAAGTTGTTAAAGGTGCCATTTTGATGGAAAAGGTTTCTTTTTGGCTAAAATCTTTGTAATTCATCTGTCTGTTGATGATATGATTGTTTTCTGATCCATAGTAGAACTGATTAGCCGCTAACTCAATGCACGTGGAGATTGAGCATTTCTCACACGAGGAATGTTCTGTGGAAATTGGAAATGGGAAGAATAATCGAAGAACTTTCTAAGTTGCATGAGGCTAGATTTTCTATTCTATCGGTTGTTAGTTTGGTTTTGCATGTTCAGGGTTTGCTTTTCTACATCTTCACAATCATTTGGGGATCCGAATAAGATTGAATTCATCTCGACGGAGTGCAAAACAGCTGAGACTAATCTTGAGCTTGTGAACTGTTTAATTGTTAAGTCACAATGTCTAATCCGTAACCAGTTTACTCAGTTATTATGGAGCTTTCTCATGCTTAAAGCGGAATAGATAGTTCAATTGTAAAAACAAAATTGATCTTGTCTCAGTAACATCAGTGAACAACGAGTATGACTACACTTTTATGAAGCTTAGTTGATCCATCTTTGATGGCGCGCTGAAAATTACAAACAAGGCTGTTGAGATGCTGGATTATGAAAGTAGTTCTTTCTAGTTTCTTACCGTGTTTGCTATTTGCACTTTCTTGTATATCGATTATTTGAATATTGCTTACTTCATTTTACTATAAATAGGGAATCAACTATAACACTGCTCTCTCTTTTGCAGTTACTTCTATAATCATTTAAAATTTTAATTTCTTACCCTTTGATCTCTTAAACACGTGTTGAATGTTTTTAGGCTGAGCTTAGAGCAAGCGTATTTGAGGCAATTGAAGAAGAGGACCGGGTTATTGAAAATGAAGACGCTGTACCTCCAGCACTACTTGGTAGCTGTAATGATCGTGCTAAGCAACTACATGCCTCACCTTCAGGTTTGCATGTTGTAATCTGATTGCATTATATCTTAAGAAGTGTTTATTTTTTTTAGTTTCATATTTTTGCACTACAGTGATCTAAGAGTTGAAAACTCTAAAATGCTGACATTATTCTAATTACTGACTCAATGGTTCCGAGTTTGGAAGCTTCCTTTTATAACATTTATCAAAGAGGTTGAGCCAGTCAGGTAAGAGTTGTAATGAATTCGGAAGAATGATCTTGTACTCTGCACTGATTGTACAGTTGGTATTAGGTGACATCTCTTTTTTTTTGTGTTTTTTTGTTCGTGTTTGTTTGTTTATTTTATTGGGTTTGTATGGGACATAAGTTGTATAGTATAAGCCAATGTGACTGGGAAGCAACCTCGCTGCTTAAAAGAGTCTTGACAGAATCACAACCTAAAATGCTTCTAGCTCCATAAATTACATGCCAACTCTTTTTATGATTGTTGAATCGTTGTATGCTTCACTGAGAGCCAAGCCTCCATGACTTAGGAGGCTTGGACATGCTAGAATCACGTGTTTGGATGGCATTTGTTTACAACCGTGTCGTGTACCAATCGTTACATCACTATTAATTATCTATTTACTTTTAGGAAGTTCTTAAACATCCCTAAAATTTGTCAACTGGCTATAGCTTTGCACAAAACATGAGATTTTGTTGATCATGTGCTCATTTGGAGCATTGGAGCTCCAACTTCTCCACCACCAAGGATATGTTTGGATGGGAGTGATTGGAGCCCCATTTTGTTCAACTACATATATGTTTGGTTGGATGTTGTTGCAACTCTTCCAAGTTGTAAAAGCAAAATAACTTCAAAATAAGGGAGTTGTTCCATTTAAATTTAACGAGTGTTCTAACATCAGGAGTTGAAGGCTACATGATGTTGTAAGTGCATTTGATGTTCCAACTATTCCTAACCACCACATAAATGTTGTTGGAAGAGTAGGTTGCTTAAACAAACACGTGTCACATAGTTGGGTGTAGATGGAAATTGGAATTGTATGGGTCTCAGTGACACCCACTGTCCAACCAAAGACACTAAGTAGTGTTATTATCAAGTAGCTAAGTTGCACGAATACATGTAAGGAGGCAGGTATTGGTATAGACACGTGCAGGCACAGACACGACAAATTTGTAAAAGGTAGGGTACAAGACACAACTGAAAGACGGGCTGAAATCATAGTTTAGGTTAGATACACAACCCTTTGAAACTATAGTTCTTAACTGAATATGGGCTGAAACAAACCCAATCCTTGTCCAACAAGTTTCAATAATGGATGTGAACATTGTGAAGTGTAGGGTATATGTCCAAAAGGGTATGATGAGTGGTTTAAATTAAAACGTGTGTTGTATAATTGAGTAATTGTCTGATAAATGTATGCATATACTTAAGGAGTATCCAAGAAGCGTCGAGTAGGATATGTGTGGGGTACGACTTCATGATAAAAGTAGCCAGACAACACAATTAAGTAGTTAAGAGGAATATTGAGGATCCATGACTGTTGACTGGGGATGTTGAACCTCTTTAGTGTATGTAAATGATAATTGTGATTCATGTTACAATAAGTTACTCTTCCTATATTGTTGAGGTCATTATGAAAAAGATGTGGCATCCCTATGTATACATAGTGTGATTTTTTTGCAAGAATTTGATTAATTTCTTTCCGAAAAGATTCTTTTTTGGCGTGCAAATACGAGTTCTACTTGTATATATCCTCCATGGAAAAGTGATATCTACACTACCATAGTAGCAAAATGCTATTCTCTGTTCTTACCAGTTATCATTACGTACAAATCAATAAATGAGGACATGAATGGTTTTATTCATTTGATCATACATTTGCTTATATTCTTGACTGTTAAAGGAGCAGGCTAGTTGGGTGCCT